ACAGACAACTTGGTGAGGTTTCATAACTTTGATATATCAGCATCTCACAGCTGTGTTTGGCCGTGTCCACGTGTGGCAGCGTCTTGCTGAGTGGCACTCATCATAGTTGTTGGATGTTTTTGTGTGCCGTGTGTTAACAGCTCTGATGGTCATTCCAGGTAGAGTTTCAAAATTAATTTGAAGGGTAGGTGCTGGCATCAGGGGACAGCTGGGAGGTGTGTAGCACTTTTTCTAGAATGAGTTTGTGAACTTACCTGTCCAACCTCATATTACCTACAAATAAATCATTTTGAATTCATTTATTTTCATTTATGATGTCACTTCAGATTTCATAGATGACAATGTGCCATCAAATGTATGATTAGTAATTGATTTCTCCTGAGTTCTAAGAAATGCTAAAGAAATCATTTCCATCTAGCATTTCTTCAGTATAAATGAAGGATTTTTTTTAATGTGCAATTTCTATCTGGAGGTAAAATTAAGTCTATATTTGTTAGTTTTTTCAGACTGGAAGTAAACTTTCTACCTTCTCGTTAAGTGTGTGAACTCAACAAAGAGGATTATTGTATAGAAATGTAATAGTTGTGATTTACAATGATAAATTTCAATGAGCTGGGTTCTGTTGAAAATGTTACTAACTAGTTTTTCTTAGTTTAATTAAAAAGCAATTTACTTTTACATAATATATGAATTGATCTGTCAGAACTTGTATGCTTTTCCTTATTTGGGGATATTTTTATAATTAATATATTACCTATTTGAACCTGAAAGGATTATATGGAATCTACACCATAATCTGTGTTTAATTTTTACATTTTAAAGGTATCTATTTCTCTGCTAAAATGAATTTTTTTTTCTCTTTGCAAAAGGCAGAGTGACAAGTCAGGAAGGTGTCCCCTTAGTTCATCTCTCGTTTGCCTGGCAGGGAACAGCCTGCCTTCCGTATGGTGTTTACTGAGCCTTCTCTCCCTCTTGTGAAGGTTCTCTGAACAGAGCAGCATAGAACTATGGGGAGACTCTTTGCAAAGCTAAATTCTACTAGTAGGTCTTTAGAAAGGAGAGAGGGTACTAAGCTTGGCCTTCCCTTAGTCAGTACCCCACTAATAAATAGCAAGAAAACAGCAGCCACACAAGAAAGGCAACCACAGACACGCAGACACATCATCCAGTAAGCCAGGCCTCTGCTAACCTGGCACCCACACCTTCACGCAGTGGGATGTATTTGTTTGTTTTTTAATGTATTTTCTCTGCAAATCATTTGGAAATGGGCACTAATGACAGTTATTAGTGCCATCTTTCTCAGACATTACTGAATGCGTATGTAACAAAAGAAAAGGTAATTTCTTTGCCTTTCAGCAGATGTCTTGTCACCAAAATCTCTTGGGTATTATTTTCTTTACAATTGTGTCCTACTTCTTTGCTCTATTTATTATTTTTATATAATCTGACAATTACTCTTGCTTTTATTTTGCATTTCTCCTAAGAGAAAACTATTTGCACATATTAAAAAATGGCAAACACTGAAGAGACAGTTTTGTACAGCCTAAAAGACATGTGAAACCTTGTTTCTGAAGCACTCTTGTTCAACTAACTCCTGATTTTCAAACACAAGTCATATGGTATATATCATATATATGTGTATGTGATATATGTGTGTATATATGATATATATCCCCATATCAATCTATGCCTAGAGTATTTTTAACTTGGTTGATGGTCTGTCGTTTCATTTTGTGTGAATAGAGGCAATGTAGACATTATATGTAATGATACTTCATCTTATTGTCCAGCATCACAGTAATTCTTTTTACATGTCCATTGTATTATGTTGTATGATTTTAAAAACAGAAAACAGTATGTATTAACCATCTTCCCTAACTAATAGTCAGTCTTGTCTATTTTTTTGTAGTAGAGGCTGACAGAATCCATAGTCTTGTCTATTTTATTACTTTAACTGATTTCACCTAATACAAGCCAAGGGATATTTATCATCATATGAAAACAAGTTTACTACGACTTGGAAGTTTTGCAACTGCTAAAAATCAGAACCAAGTAAACTATGATTAACAGACTCTCTGAAAATCCATGATTTTAAGAAATTATAACACTTTTCAGATAAAACATATTATCCTATCGGTTTAATAAGTTTCATTTACCAATTTCACTTTAATTAAGTGATAAACTTCATTCTTGGTAGAAAAAATTATCCTATTTGCTTCTTTTACTCCTTTTCTGTTTACCCCACTTGGTGAGAAAGTGAACCTTTCAATCCTTCCAAAGTAACCAAATTAATCTGATAATCTGAGGAAAGGTGACATAAATTTAAGACACTAACATAATCTTATCACACTTTTCATTTAACTCATGTCTGAATTTAAAAATTTTTTAGTACCCAGTTACAAGTTTTTGTGAATAACTAATAAAAGGCAATTTTACAGAGATTACAAATTGATATTCTGATGTTAAGAATTTTGTGGTTACTTCCAGCTACAAAATATAAACAATGTCATTTATACTATACTGGAACACTCTTTACAATCCTGATTCCTTTGCCATATTTCCAATTCCTACTAAACCGATAGGAGAGTTTATTTTCTATTAAACTTTTTTAATTAAATCATAGTTGTGTACATTAATACTGTCATGGGGTACAGTGTGCTGCTTTTATATACAATTTGAAATATTTTCATCAAACTGGTTAACATAGCCTTCAAGTAAATTGTTCAAATTTATACGTTTGAGGATTCACAGTCAGATAATCAAACCTTACCTATTCTCTACTCTGAAACAATTCAAACCTTGCAATATTGAGTAGAATTTTATATTTCATCTAGTAAAAGTTAACAAAAAGTTTCTGTTGAAATTTTCCTTAAAGGAAAACAAGCAATTTTAGATTGAGGTTTTAATAACCCATTTTAGGGTCATGGTGGGATTATATATATATATATATATATAGCTTAAAGTGAAATTAGCACAAATGGTTAGCATGGGCAGCACAGTATGTTGTACACTCACATATAATAAGCATGCTTTATGATTAAGAACCAGGTCTCTCTGCATATGTGTGGATGGATCTCAGAAACAATGTTAGTAAAAGAAAACAGTCATAAAAACAGTGTGCATGTAATCCACATGATTACACTTGGAAAGTTTTTAAAGTAGGTAAAACTAAAACATAGTATTGAGTAATAAAAACTTTAAAGAAAATAATCAACCAGAGAAATTGCAGCAGTGGCTGTCTGAGGAAGGACAAGGACCAGTGAGGGGGGAGGGCCGGCCGTGCGCTCCTGGGGTCTTGACGTGGCCTCTGATTCTTGACTTAGCCGGTGAGTACATGAGTGTTCACTATAAACATTCAGTGACAAATCAGTGATTGGTCATCTTCTTTTGTTCACTTTTATGGAGTTATTTTACAATTCATAAAAGGGTAATAATGTATGAGAAAATTTGGACATAGCCTTACACCAGTTTCTGAGGGTACTAAGTTAGATGTCATGACATTCCCTGTTATTGGAAGTATGTTACACTAGAAGGTACTATTCTTTCTTTCTTTAGTGTTGTTTAGCCAATTAAATCTGCTATCTAACCTGAGAATGAGCGTGTGTGTGTGTGTGTGTGTGTGTGCCCAAGAAAGAAAGAGAAAAAGAGAGAAGGAGGGAAGAGAAAGTGTAAGAAGGTGGGGGGGGGGTGGAGAAAGGAGATGAAGGCTGTGCTGATGGAGGGAGGTTTAGAGAACACAGGCATATGTCTGCATTATGTTCCCTCCAGACTGAAGTGTTAGGGCAGCCTGGGGTGAGTTCAGAGCTAGAAACAAAGACACCTTCCTATCCTGATGCTAATGAAGGGGCCCTGTACATTCTGTCACCAGTAATGGAATAAATTTCTAGAGCCCTAATTCTCAGGACACTTATGATCCATTTGCTAGTATGTACTTCAGCATTTCAGCTCTGAAACATTTCAGGGAGATGTATTTTACTTGAGTCCTCTTACTTCATTCTCTCAAAAATCAATCTTTTACCAAGGATTCCAAACATTTGCTCTAAATGCAATTGATTATAGATTTAGGTTTTGAAATATCTATGTAATTCCTATATCCTTTATAGGTACAATAAAACTCTATCAGTTTGAGATAGTGTACATGGAGTTCTACCTCAAGCCATGCCGAGAGATTGTACCTCCTCATAGTTGACATTCTGGTTTCACGCTGCTATATAGTGGCACGCCAATAGAAAGTGGCCTATTTTACAGCTGGAATAATATTCCCAAACACTTCTTAATCATAAGAGTTATGGTTATGTACTATAATATGTATAATTGTCTAAAATGTAAAATAAACCCCCAAGTCACAAAAACTTAAGGTTAAATAAAACCTGACTGCAAACTATTTCTAGCAAAGAATCTAAAGCAGAAAAAAATGGCTTTTTTATTGAAAAGGAGTTTGGAAAGTAAAGACAGCTTTTTTTGACTCAATTCCTTGTAAGTAGAAAGAAGAAAGATAGCGTGACACCTGTCAGCGGATGTCTGGCGCTTGAGAGCATCACTACAATACAGGAGCCGACAGTGTCTGCAAAGGTCACCCTGAAAGGATAGAAACTGGGGACATTTGTCCTCTGACTATTTCAGTAATAACCTCTTCCTTTGGGGGTGGGGGGGTTTGAGTCTAAACACTTGGCAGCTCAGACTTTACTCAGCATTTTGGATACCAGACCCCTCCATGATGTGCAAGTCAAAAGGTGTTATTCACAAAATGCCAGCTTCTTTCAGAAGTTAAACTTAATATTAAATGTCAAGAGATGGAAACACTGATTTTTAAGAAGCCACAGTTTAGAAATGATCACCGGAAAGCTGTGTTGAGGGACAGTCCCCATGGAGATCTAATCACAATGGTCTGAGGATTGAAAGAGTCAGGACACCTGAAAAAGCATATGGCAACATGAAGAGTTTTAACCGTCACAGAAGACTCTGACATTTAAACCATGTTTCTTCCATTGTGTTCACAGGCTCACCTTGTCGCAGCTTTTGAAAAGAGTTTAGGAAATATGACTGGCCGATTGCAAAGTCTAACCATGACAGCGGAACAAAAGGTATGTTCAGAAGCTGCTCCTGAAGCTTGAAAGGAGATGGCAAGTGACTTAGGACGTTCAGTAATGCCTTTAGCTCCTGAAAAATAACTCTGCAGAACATCCATTCCATGCTAAATTAGAACAGGGATAGGATAATATGTTTTTCTTTTTGGATTTATAATTTGAAGACTTATAGATTAATCCATAGTGCTACATACCACACACACACTCACCAACTTCTCTTTAGACAGTCTAGTATTTTACTTCTAACTAGAGCTATTAAAATGTTGTTAACAAAGAGAAACAGTCATATAAGAGTTAGAATATCCTAGCAGCAAATTGTTATGCAGTTGACAAGAATCACACTTTGGCAAGAGTTTTCACAAATGCGTGGTCACTAAGTCTAGTTACGACTTAGACTTAGTCTAGTCTAGTCTAGTCTGCACGGCCTTAGGCTCTGACAGGCAGGAGGGACACCAGGAGTGGATGTTAGGACTCTACAGAATAAGGACTTCAGGTTACAGCATCTATGGAACAAAGGATAGTCCTGTATAATTTTAGAATAATGAGAACTAGTTGGCATCTGAAGATGCCACCTTTGAGGTAAAGTTATTTAATGTATATCAAAAGCTTTACGATGAACCTGAAGAATTTTCAGGCAAGGCCTGGAAGAAAAAAATACTAAAAAGAAATGCACAGAGAATTTAGTTTGCAAAGGCAGATAGATGTATTAAAAGGTCCACACTGCCCGGAGCAAGTTGGGTTACTTTTCCTCATCATGACATGTTAACTTCGTTCGCTGCTGTGGCCCAGTGACTTAACTTTGTGGAATGAGTGTCAGAGACAAGTGGAGCCCCTGAAGTTATAGGGGAGCTTTTGTAAAAGCTGCATCTATGTAAGATATGGTCACGTGTCTGTGGTTGTCATCTAATTCTCAAAGAGATCATAATCTAAAAAGTGTTGGATATTTTCGGGATCTATTCCTACATCTAATATCTATCCGTAAGATGGTTTCAGTTTTGCCTTTGTTTGATTACAAAACTTTTTTTAAACTAAGTGAGCAATCCATAATGAATTTAAAATAGAAAACCTATTATTCTTATAATTGCCTGGTATTAATCTAGCTAGCAAACCGCATTCTGTCCATTTCATCAATTTCTCTTGCCCCTGAAAGACAACATTATCCATTCCTATAAACCTATCCTAGAACTACAGCTAACAGACTCCTTTGGAGCTCAGAATATTTTCTATTCTTTTCATTTCTTGCTTTCTTTAATTTTTTTTAATTTTTTACGAGTTTGCCCCTTCTCTATTTAATGTTAAGAACCCACTAACACAACATCAAAGCCCATTCATATTGAATGTAAACCCTGGCTGGGTCTGTTAAGAGCTTTGTAATCTCAAGCAAGTTAATGTAACCTTTTCTGAAGATCAATTTCAACATTTTAAAAGTGGGAATAAGAAAAACTACTTTGTGGGATCACAGTGAGGAGTAAGAAACTCTGTCACATACACGTGAAGGGGGCAATGACAGAATATTACCTTCCCTTACATTTCTCTCTTCTTCCCTTCAAAATTATAAGATGAAGCAAACCCATTATTGGGCATTTATATGCCAAGTGTATTGCTAAAAATGAGGGTGAGTAGTTAAGTCTCAATATCTTTAAGAAGTCAAAGTTAGTAGACATTTTTGCCCTCCCTTTCTTTCAATCTCTTTTATATTTGTAAGTAAATTTTCTTCTAGAAGATAGAAAAGCATATAGGTATTTTAATTTACAATGGCTGTGATTAATTCTTTAATATATAAAAGCATGTCTGTGTCATATAAGGAATTGCATAATTGTGTATATATTATCCTTAAAATAGCAATGCCAAAATTATAAAATTTTCTCAAAAGATATCCTGATGTCTAAAATTGTCCTTATCATTTTTAATGGAAAATCACATTTTTTTTCTGATTGCAAACCATACACACACAATAAAGAAAGTAACAAGTTTATTTATTAATTGGGATTATAATGTGTTGATATTTCCAAAATGGTTTTGAGAAGCCTACACTATGTGCTTGATATGGTGTGGCATAATACAGTAACAGAATACAATGAAAACTAGTGGGGGATGCGTGTGACAGTGTACCTGAGCCTAGGTGATCCCTACTGGAAAACACGAAACTGAATTGGATGTCAAGGAGGCGAAGGCACAGAGAGAGATTGCTCTGCGGGTCTCATTCTCATTTTCTGACGAGAAGAGCATAATTTAGATTGAAGAGACAAACTCTTTGGCAGTGAATTGAAGGGCGAATTTATTGCAAAGGTTTTTAAATTGGGGTCATGGAATAACAAAAGACAAAATCGCTGTTCAAATAGACATTTCTCTAAAAGCTGAGGGCATAACATTTAATCATATTTCAGGAAAGGCACTTCTTCAGGGAGCTGAGATAAAAGGGTATATTGCTCTCTGGTGATCCAACAATCCTGGGAAAAGCTCTGGAAATACATAGCAGAGAATTGGAAACTCTGTTCCTGGAGTTCTAAGGTTCATTCGTCCACTGAGTCATTCACCAAATGTCTAAGAACAAACCATATAGTTATCTATCTATCTACCTACCTACCTATAGGTCTATTTTTCTAACTCTAGGTATCTACTAGAACATAAACTCTAAAAATATACACATATAATAGTCCTCATGAAGTTTGTATTCCTTGTATGTATGTATATATTTATCATGGGTTTATATTTTAGCAGGTGACAGATGATGATAAAAAGTATAATTAAAACATATAGGATTTCCGGTAACAATAAACACCCCTGATACAGTGAAATTGAGAAGGAGGCTATTTGGGAAGCTGAATGGGCAGCTGAGACACAAAGAAACAAAGGCGTGGTGGCTGCATGTTTTTGATTAATTATGTAAGAAATAGATAAACTGAGACTCAAAGTCTAGAATTCTGGCTTCCTGGTGTGATTTTCAACAATCACATGGCATTAATAGCCTGGAACTACATTGAAATTTTAGGGTTTTTTTTATAGACTGAAATCCCTTCCTTTAATAGGGAGGGATTCATTTTCTGCAATTTTCTATTTCCAGGTGCCAAGTAACACTAATTGTCTCACAAAAACTGTGAGCTATTGTACATTCATAACCTGGTAAGAAAGAACAGACATGTCTGAATAACTCACAGGACAGCAAATGATCCATCATTATAAACATAACAGTACAATGTCATGTGCCTTCTCAAAGACGGCCCTTGCATCCTCATGCTGAGTAGAGTGGAGATGGCATGGAAGATACCTGGGGAGGATTGAGAGGATAATTCAGGGAAGATGTGCAGGGGTGTGTCACAGGGCTAGGAACAGCATGCATGAGCTTGGTCAGCAAGGGGAAAATTACAGGCAATGTTGAGGTAAAATAGGGCTTGTGTGGAAATGGGAAACCAAAGCTAGAAAGAGACTTCTAAAGAATCTGATCTCTGAAAGCAAGGAGCCATTCAAAGGTTTGGGACACCAGATTAACAGGATGGTTAATCAAAATCGGGCAGCACTTTTCAATGCGTTAACAACACCGCCAACAGCTTCTGGAAGATGGCATGTTATGTAATAGTGAATGAATGGTGAAATTTGTAAACAGGTAAAAATTAAGAGAATCATCATTATGCTGGCTAGAGGGTGGAATTCCCTGCAGGTATTATCCTGTACGTAACCTAAGCCTCAATTGATTGCAGAATTGACATAGTTTGGTCAAGAGTTTTACCCTAATTTCAGATCTTTGTCCCTTCATCAGTACTGTCCAACAAAATTCCATGAAAGAATCAATACCTAGACCCTGAGTCGTCTATTATATGTGATGAAATAATTTCTTTTCTCACTATCTCGATTGGTACTAGCTATGTGTCACCATTGTTAGAATTGAGATCATAAGCCAGGTGTGGTGGGGGGAACTATGGGAGGCTTGAGGCCAAATGGGGAGATGGCTTGTGGCCAGGAGTTGGAGACCAATCTGAGCAAGAGCAAGACAACATCTCTGCAAAAAGCAGAAAAATTAGGCAGGCATGGGGATGTGCACCTGTGGTCCCAGGTACTCAGGAAGCTGAGGCAGGAGGATCGCTTGAGCCCAGGAGTATGAAATTGCAGTGAGCTGTAAGGGGCCACTGCATTCTATCTGGGACAAGGGAGCAAGGCACTGTCTCAAAAAAAAAAAAAAAAAAAGTTTTTGAGAAAATAGTCATTCCAACTGCTGTGCAGGGCTAATTTCTCCATGTAATAGAGTGCCAATTACAAAAGGAATGAAGATGGCAGGGATTCTGCAAAATCTGTATTTTTTACAAGTGAAATTTTTATGGAACTACTGTTAAATCATTGTGTTCAAATTTACTAAGGCTATGCTCACTGAAAAATATTTAAGGATTTAAAATTCAGAAGACTTTCAAATTGGTTATCTGATAGTATCCTACCCGGGCAATCAGAACATATATTACTTTAAGATAGTTTAGTTTTGATTGAAGGACAGAGCAGGACAGAGGGACATCTCGTGTGAGGGATATTGACTCTTATGTTAACTGTAAAGTCTAGATATTGACTAAGCCCAGATATTGACTCTTATGTTAACTGTAAAGTCTAGGCTAGGATTTGCTCATTCTTATCTCTGTAAAACTACTTTTTTTGGTTAACTAGCTGAACAAGAATTTAAACATCAATAATGAAAAACCATAAAGACAAATTCTTTGAAAATGTGTAATATAGGAGTTAAAAATTAAGTTGCATTGGGTCTTTTCATTAACTATTCCTAATTTATACACTATTATGATAGTTATATCATAATATTAGAAGTGTTTCTAAATATGTGTATTGCTAGAGTCAGACAACGCATCCATTAAAGTTTTAGGGCATAGAATAATATGAATGTATAATTTTCAAATCACTTAACATTGCTGGGATTTGGTGACTTTCATCCACATGAACCCAGATGCGATAGGGATGACCAGGTTCTTTCAGAAGGAAACTTAGCAAGGTTTCAAATACAAAGGAGTGGGGTCGGGACTGGGACGTGTTCCAGGCAACTATAGCTAGTTGTGAGAATAACGAGTGTCAGGGTAAGGCAGCAAAAGATAGACGTAGTGAAAAGAATTTAAGAGTCTTACCTACAAGGTGAAGTTGGTTGATAATATTTGTTGCCAAGCTTGTTAGGTTCTCAACAGGGCCTATATTCCTGAGAAATTTGGAAAGAGGTCAGTTATAGTTAGAAAATCAAGTTGAAAGAACACCAGGCAAGGCAAGTATTGTGACATAAATTTGATCATTTTATTTTAAAGCATTTCAAGTCTGACCATGATAAATTGTCTAGACTTAGAGGCATGTACAGAACTGTTAAAAGAGATGCTGACACCATCTTTTCCAGCTTCTTGAAACTTCCATGGAAAACTAGAGCCTTCTGGTTTGCAGGTGTGGGGGGCAGCATTACCCTGAATTTTTAGTTTATTGGAGAGATGTGAAATTATACTTTGGTTCTCGGGTTTTAAAATACTCACCACTTTTGAAAAATATTAAGTATCAATAAAACATAATCTGATCGTTTTGTTCTCTAAACTGTTTGCAGAATTATTCCAGCTCAATGTTCTCCATGTTATTTAATGAAAAGAGTAGGAATCTGGAACTGCTAAATTGAAAAAGTAGAGTTTAAATTCATATCTTAATGGCATGTCCACATTTCAGGGTTTGTTTGGTTTTTTTTTCCTGCAGGCTTAACAGAGCTTCTCAAGATTAAGTATTTTCTTTTTGTTACCTTCAAAATAAAAAGATTATATGAAAATATTTCAGATTATCTATAAAATATTCCATCATTTGTAATTAAAAGATAGCTACAATCTGTATTGATTGACATAATCTCTGTGAACCGCCCCTAGGCATCTTTCCATATTTGCAAAATAATTTTGTAGTCAGCCATCTCTGACACTCATCTCTCATCATATTCCTGATCCAGACGCCCCATTATGAACAAAATAAGAAAATCTTAGTTGTGTGCATTGCAGCTACCATGTCTTATAAACACCTTCCGAAACTATGGCTTAGAAATCGATGTGAGCAGCTAAGTGTAAGGAGGAGGAAGGAAAACGGGGACTGGAAATAAAGTATTGAGAAAGAATTTCTATGACTCAGTGGAGCCTGTATTTTAAAATGGTTTATCTTCATCTCTGTAATCCTATTGGGAAAGAGATCAAGGAAAACCTGGTTTTGTTTATCTGGAACAGAAAACCTGCTATCCAAATTAGATTCTACTGATTCAGCCATACTGAGACTTCTGGTTATAATAAAGGTTTGATATTTTTATATGACACCTCATTAGGTGATTAAACATCCTTTTGTAAAAAAAAATATATATATATATGCAATAAAGGCAAAGTTTTATATTATTTGGAATTTCGAAAGGAGAGGCATCTGTTTGACGTGGACCAGAACATTTTAACAAAACCATTCTAATATTTACTGAGATTATAGAACAACAATTAGATAAGCTACGTGATTCAACGATTTGACAGCACAGGGAAGGCACCTTTTTATTTTTTTCTAACAGAAAAATAGAGATTTCCTAAGTATGCAAATATTTCACCATTGCCTTTGTGGGTGAGGAAAGATATTTAAAGCAGAGGGAAAAATTACATGGAAAGGCTTAGGGTGAGGAGATGAGAGCAGATCTTATTACCTGAAATAAAAGAGAAGGAAGGACTTTTTGCAAATATGGAAAGATAGCTACTGCAGGTTTGAACTGCTTATGTCAATCAATGCAGATTATAGGTATTTTTAAATTAACAACTCTAGAATATTTTATAGCTATTTGATAATACTTAGAAATCTGTTTTCCTAAAGAGCTACTAATGTGAATTTGGCTGAACTCGTTTTTTCATAGATGTTACTTTCCAGAGTTATAAATATATTTCTTACCTGGTTATTCTTCCTTTGGGTTTATTATGCCACCCGGAGCAACAATTAACCTGTTGGTAACTCTTTGTTTCCAAAATGCGTGTAGTAAGTGTTCATTCCGCCATGTCACATTAAATACAATATTCTGAAAAAAGAACATTTTTCGAACATTCCACTTTAATCTTCTTAAAGATGGTTTTTAGAAGAGAGTTCTGTAGAAAAGTTGAGAGTTTGACAAATCAGCTAACTCAAAATTAAGCTCGATTTTTAGACAGTTGTGAGAGAGCTTCTCATTTCCATTTTCTTCTTTAAAGCTAAGCCAAATGTTTTAGCAGATTTTTAATCCATAGTACAAGCATTTTATTTTAAATTCAAGTTGAAAATATGATCTTAATTTAATGTGCATCCTAGCGTTTATATCCTAGAATTAATATTTCAATTATGTAAGTCTAGTAGTAAGCAGCATATGTATCCTTTTGGAATCAATTTCTCATAAAAGCAGAATGAATGTCTGGAAAATATTTTATCTCCTGGGGGATTTTAAATAGAAAATAGATCAAATTTTGGTAAATATATCTATTGCTAGGTGGGCAGTGGATAAAATATAATGTAAGGGTGTACAGGACAGCCCCTGGTGAAGGGCTCAACTACAACTTGAACTTGACCTAACAAATGCAACAACTAACCTAATCATCTGGACCCTCCTGTTAATCAATCCGAAATTAAAGAAAAAATGTTGGCGAGACTGAGATATGATGATGAATTGAGTCAGACTTTTTTACATGATGACATTGGAGAATTGGTGCATATATTTTTCTTATAAATGAATGTGTGTGAATTATAGTATTTGAAGACTGACCTATAAATCTAAGAGGTTGCTATTGATATTTCATTATGAGATTCTTTGTAACTATTAAAAGGCAATAAGAAGCTTTATTTGTTTGTTTTAAATCTAATTGCTCGCTATCAGGACTATGCCAGATAAGCCAGTGAAAAGAGATCCATGAGGTTCCAGGTATCTATTCCAAACTTGATAGCATTTCAGTTGGCATTCTATATCTTGTTATAAATAGTCACTGAATATTCCCATAAAGCCATGTTCTGCAAAGGTAGTTTTTGGTGAAGTTTGCCCTTTTTAAAATATATTTTAGGAGACTTGAGTGAAAATGAACAATTTTAAGATAAAATAAAGAACCCAAGCCTAATTTTTTAGCTTTCTGCACAAGATACTACAGAAAATGATGAATGATAAGCACATTACCAAGGAATTCTTTCTCTAAGAGGCTGACAAAAAATCTAGTTTTTAGGATTGTGTTACAGAACCAAGAAGGAGATTCCTTGTTACCAAGCGTCTTATGGAAATATGATCTATGCTGAAATCACCTTAAGTTCTTTTCTTTATTTCTCTCTCTCTCTCTTTTTTTTTTTTTTTGGTTACCTATCATCTTCATAAGTCATTTTTGTTTAAAAAAATTCACTTAACAAATAGCTATGAAATACTGAATTTATACAATTATTTTTATTGTATTATTATTTATCTTAGAATTACTCTAAATTAAATTAGAAAATATATGTTTTATAAAAGTTTGATTTGTAAGCTGTTTTTCTGGGCAATTTAACTATTATTTAAGGATTATTCATTACATATATTTCTGCTCATATTTTTTTATTCCTGTATCACTTTGGCCTGGGGAAACCAGATCTCTAGATCGGCAATTTTAATAAATGAAAAGTATCAGAATCTAAGATAATCTTGATAAGCCCACAGAATTTAATAAAATAACAGTTAATAAAAGTGAATTAGAGGTAAGCTCCAGGTTTTACACTCGAATACAAAGAATCAATCATTAATGTACAAAATACAAAATCTAAAATTACTTGACAAAAAATCCAGGGTTCCAGCTGACAAGGAGCACAGTGTGACAGCAATGCTGATCCCTGAACATCTAGTATGACCATGGGGCATGTTATGCAGTGTGTTCTATAAACTGAATGATGCTTTATTTGGTACTGGCCAGCTCTGGATGCCACCCTTGGAAAGGAATGAACACTATTCAGATAACATTTATAAGACAAAAACCAAAGGAAAAAATTTCTCTCTAACTAAGAAAAACTTTGTACAACTGAACAAGGTTAACCAAGCATCCAGATCTTCCCAGAAACAGTGCTACAAAAAAATCAAACTTACCTGATAGCCACCATAAACAAGTCCGTGTTATTTTTCTCTCTAGGTATTAAAACTTCCCAACTTTTTTATTCCACAGGAGTCTGAACTTATAGAACTAAGAGAGACCATTGAAATGCTGAAGGCCCAGAACTCCGCCGCCCAGGCAGCTATTCAGGGAGCACTGAATGGCCCAGATCACCCTCCCAAAGGTATATTTAGAACATCTCCAGTCTTCACCCAATATAATAGGCATCTATTTTATTTATTAATTAGAGTAAGCTGCATTTACTCAGTGACACTGCCTTTTGGAATGAGTAAGATGGTATTAATGTCAATTCAAGAACACTGGTTTTCATTATCAAATCATGTGTGAGTGGTTCTTAAGGAATTTGCTTCTGTAGTTGTATACACACTTCTTCACACTCAATTTAGTGAAGATGAGCGTGCAGTGATTGCATATTCAATTTTAGCTTTAAGCAAAAAAAATGGTAATGAATATGATAATTCAGATTTTTTTTTTTGAAAACAGAGTCTCATTTTGCTGCCATTTGTAGAGTGCTACAGAGTGAAAGCTCATAGCAACCTCAAACTCTTGGGCTCAAGTGATTCTCTTGCCTCAGCCTCCCAAGTAGCTGCGACAATAGGCGCCTACCACAATGCCTGGCTTATTTTTAGAGGTTTTAGAGATGAGGTCTTGCTCTGGCTCAGGTTGGTGAGCTCAGGCAATCCACCTGTCTGGGTCTCCCAGAGTGCTAGGATTACTGGTATGAGCCACCATGCCTGGCCAGATTTGTGTATAAAAATAATCAGTTACTAAAAATGAAATTTTAATAAATAATCGGTATGGTGGTATAGCAAGTAATGAGCATTGCAGGCAACTTCTCCTGGGTGAAGACAGTAAAAAAGGTACTTAGTCAACATAGTGACACAGCAAGTGGTAACCCCTGGGCACAGCTTATCCTGGGTGGGGGCATAGAAAGATATACTTCCTGTAGATCCTGGGTGCCCAACCTGCTGCCCTTGGGCCATATGCTGATATTGTCAGGATGTTTTTTGCTTATCTTATCTGTCATGTCAGATATTATGAAAAGAATACATGGCCCTTTGGCCAGGCATGGTGGCTCATGCCTATAATCCTAGCAACTCTGGAAGGCCGAGGCAGGTGGATTGCCTGAGCTCACAGGTTCTAGACCAGCCTCAGGAGATGCAAGACCCCCCACCCCCGTCTCTATAAACTAGCTGGGCATTGTTGCAGGTGCCTGTAATCCCAGCTACACAGGAGGCTGATATAAGAGAATCGCTTAAGCCCAAGAGTTTGAGGTTGCTATAAGCTATGATGCCACAGCACTGTACTAAGGACAATAAACTGAGAGTCTGTCTGAAAAAAAAGAATGCATGGACCTTTTTTTTTTTGCCAGTCAGGTTTATGTAGTTAATGTGTGACCCCAAACAATTCTTATTCTTCTAATTTGTAGCAGAGGAAAAAAGGTTGGACATCCCTGCTGTAGATAATTTAAGATAATAAACAGACTCAAACTTGTTCTGTTTTTTATTATGACCATACTTTGGCAATTCTAGACAATGAAAATATTTCTCTCTTCTCCTCCCTGCTCCCCTCGGCTCAGCACTGAAGCAATGTTCACCATGAATGCCCTACTGTCTTTTTTCTTTATATAGGTTCTATTTAATCGTGTCTTGATTCTTTTCAATGCATTCAGTGTGTTTAAGTTTTTCCCAACTTAAAAGTCTTTTTCTAAATCTGCTGTTGTCTGTCTTCTAATTTTTAGATAAATTCTGGGTACAATTTTATGGAATCTTTCAATATCTGCAGCCACCAATCACCCTTTAGTCCACTGGACGATTGCTTTTCTTCCCATCCCTCCCCCAAAGCAGTTCTCTCCAGGATCAATAGTGACTTGTATGAATGATACTAAATCCAATAAAACATTTGAAATTCTTACTGTATCAGGCATGGAAAGCATATGCTACTGATGTCCATTCCCTCCTGCTTGAAACTTTTATGTTTTTCTAACATTCCTGACATCCCCCATTCTTAGTTTTCCTTTTGTTCTTCTGAAAGCTCTTGTAGAGTGTCTTTTTAAACTTTATCCCTTTGTGTCCATTTGTTGATAACCTAAGCTCTCCCATATGACTCTGATTCCTCCTCTCCTGACTGACTAATTCACCAAGTTCTATTGAGCCCACCCCTTCGGTGTCTCCTGGATCTGTTCACTTTCTTTGCTCCTGCTGTCACCATCCATCATCTCGTCCATGAACTTTGACCACAGACCCCTAAATAGACTTCCTGTTCTTAATCTTACTTCAGTTTTATACCATTCTTCACTCTGAAGCCAGAGCACTCACCTAAAAACATATTATCTACCGGTATTCCCCTGCCTGTAGGATGAAATGAAGACTTCTTGATATGGCAAAATCTCTTTTCACAGTTTCATTCAGTCAGAAAGTATTAAATTGCCAATTTTGTGCCAAATGGTGTGCTACACCTTATCTCTTGGCCTTTTCCTGCATTGTATATTCTGTATTTCAACTATCCTGAATTTCTCCTAATTCTTCTTAAGTCCTCTGTACATTCTATGGATTCCACTTGCTACCTTCTACTCTTTTCAGCAGGCAGACTTCTGAGACACTGCAGGAGTTAGCCTCGATAGGCCTCCTTGACTCCTAAACTGGGTGAAGTTCCCTGTGGCATGTTTCTGGAAATAGCTGTACTTTCCTTATTAAAATTCACAACCCACTTTGATGCCTTGATTTAATATATGTCCTCCCCGATTCACATAGAAAGATGTGTTTCTTTCCCATAATGATGCATTGCATACAAAAGGAGCTTATTTGAATTTTATGGACAAGAATAGTATTCTTTTTTAAATGTACTTGAATTTTAGGGAAAGAATTATATAAAGTGAGTTATACTTAAAAGACAAACTAGCTTTCTAGGGGCTACTTCTGTGAAGAGTTTAGCAACTTTCCATGTGGGGGTGTTGATTTATGGGCTGCGTGGAAAATTCCTGCATCTTTAAAGCTTATCTTAGAGCTATAATAAAGCCTCTTACGTTCCAAATCTTCATGATGTAAATAGGTCCCGAAGGGATTTAAAGAGGCTTAATCTTTACTTTAGCACAGCACAAGTCACTGAAGTGAAACTTTCTGAAAGGATTCCTTTTATCTTAGGCAACAGGTAGCTGAATAGCTGCTAGAATTGAAAACTAGGGATTCCTTTGCTTATAAATGTGGGGAGGGTGGTGCCAGAGATGAACAAAATAAAGTCAACAATTACATTTATCAAGAAATGTTAAAAATAATTTTCTAGCTTTTAAAACAATCAGGAACAAGTAGTTATAAAGGGTTGAACATAGATATAATATATACAGGATAGTTAGATTGTATGTCTGCAATAGTAACACTCAGTATTAGTTCAGTGAACACAAAATGATTCTTATTACATTGACTATTGACATGCAGAAAGTAGCCAGACTAATTATGTATCTTTCAATGGGTTATTAAGGAAATTGAATGATCAGTAAATTTGTATTTTGAAAAAAATCATACAGAAATTCAATGTGACAGACTGGTAAAATATTTATGTCATGTTAATTTTTAATGTATCTTAAAAGATATATTTGGAATGAGGCCATACTTTTATAGACAGGTCAGACCATGGAAATATCACACATAAATTTATTAAAGTACCTTTCTATTTTCTGTAAATTTATGTTACATGTTTATTAACAACAGCTGACAGTTATGGTTTATAATACAATAAATGTATTTATTTGTTTACAGACATATTTAATCACCTGCTATTAAGTATTAGGCACTCTTTTGACTTTAAAATACAAAGATAAGATGACCCTGTACTGAAGGGACTCAAAATTCACTGCAATGAAAGACCACACACACACACACACACACACACACACATTATATAACAATTATGAGAAACATAATTTTTATAAGGCTGAAAGTTGAAGGTAATGGGATATTTTACTTTTATTTCTAAAAATGCACTTGTGCTTTTTAATTTACTACTTCTGCATAAATATGGTACAGTTTTTTCTTCAGATATATCAAGTACAGTTGAATAACATGTGTATATTTTTTAGGAATCACCAACAAACATAATTAAGTTGAATAAATCATTGGAATCACTTTACTCAGCAACTACATATTCATTGCCTCCTTCATGCCATTCTCTGTACAAGGTTCTTGATGGTAAACAAAATTGACTTGGTCCTTTTCTCCATCAGACATTTAGTCTAATGGGAAGACAAAAAAGAAATGATTAGAGCTAGGCATGCATGTGAAATAATTATGAGCTCTCACATGGACAGTAACAGGTCCTGGAGAGAGCAAAAGTGCCAGAGAACATACTAGAGGTTGCATCGCCATAATTTTCCAAAATACCAATATTTAAGGGGCTGTCTATGGAAAAATGATCAAGTCATAAATGTGGAAGGAGAGGCATTCCAAGAAGTCCTTCAGACAGGAAACAGATTAGCACTGTTATAGAACTCTTATAGGAAAGATAATTAGCAAAGATGTGATAAGTACAACGAGGTTGGAGAGATAAGGACAGATGAGGTCGCTGTGGAATTTGGAGCCATATTTAAGACATTTTTTTTCTATTCTCATTAAAGTAATAATTGATTGAGTAGACTAAAGTAAAGAAGTGAGGGTGAAGATTTTCTTGAAAAACTTTTTTTTAGAATGTTTATAGAATGGTGGTGAGAAGTTTCATAGGTCTTCTCCTTGTAGAGCTGATCTTGGTAGCTTGAACTGTGGTAGTAGTTGCAGAGGGTGGGAAGTGGAAAAGAAAGGAGTGAACAAACACGTAACTGAAATTTTCACTTTGAGATAGGCTTCTCCATTCAGTCAGATTGCTGATACGCATTTGGTTAATCATCTTTACTGAGTTCTGTGATGCCTCATGTAATGGATTAAATACTCACAAGCACTAAAAAGGAATTGATAGAAAAATTTAAATGCATTCCTTTCATTCCATGATATTATTGAAATTATGCCTTTGATAACTTTTATTGATAAATGCAGTCATAGTTGAAGGTAAGTAATACCTCCTCAGGCTACTTTGACCTGTGATTATAATAATCTACTGATCTTTGTAAAAATTTGGTTAATCAAGTAAATCAAATATAATTTATTAATTCTGAATATAATAAAATTTCTGGAATACTTTAATACTTTATGATTTTGCTCTGTTTATAAAAGTTATTTATCAGGAAAAAGCTTGCAAATGCTACATCTTGTTCAAAAAGGCTAATAGCAACTAGCAGTAGAAATTTAAAACACGATTGCCAGCACTTGGTCTTTCATTGTTTATTCACATGACTTCTACTGTAGTTGATGAAGGGATATGATATTGCTTTATTGTTGAATTAAAACTGCCCACATATGCTTTGACTTAGGTTTTGGGATTGGCAATGGTTTTGCCATGCAATAAACATTAAATATTTCCGTTATTATTTTTTAAATAATTTTAAGAGACCAAACTCTAGAGATACTGAAAAATAACTCTATATTTTTTCCTTCTATATAATTTTTGGTTGAAATGATTACTTTGATAAAAAAGTTAAGGCACTTATTGACATATATTTATATGAACATGAAGTTATATAAACATATGCATTTATTTATATATATTTATTATATACTCAAACATAAACTCATATGTTTTGAAGGTAACCGGTGGTCAATTTTAATATTCAATAAATCAGTGAAGTGAAAGGCTTGATTTTATACTGCTGTCTATATGAAAACTTTATAAACCACAAACATTTTTATAAGAGGTTTTGGCACCTTGCAAGTTCCATTGAGATTTTTTGTTTGGTTAACCTGTTTTGATGTCAGTTACATATATTGATAGAACTGGTCTAAAGGCAAATTTGACTTTGTGTATACTCATAAATTCAGTGTCACACTAACACTTAATATCCCTTCACTGTAAGGATATACAACTTCAATTTTAGTTTTAATTTCAATTTCAATAAATCGTACATGGAATGAGTGGATTAAATATCAAATGCTGTTGTCTTCAAAGCATTTATGTCCCTAGAGAAGCACTATATGCTCTTGAGAAGCACAGCTAGACCATGTTACATGGCAGGTGGCACAATAAATATTGAAATTGTCTAGGTTTAAGGTTGACTGTATTATTTTTTAGCTAAATGACCATGTGCAAATTACTTCGAGGAAATAAATTCAGTTGTTTGCTTAAAGATTAAACTTAGATACTCTAGGTACATTAAGCCTATAGTAAAAGCAAACTTTATCATTACTTGTTATCACTTTTACTATTCTATGTCATGGACAGGGACTAGGGGTAGGATAGCATCATTGCACCGTCTGAAATGTGCTCTTTTGTTTAACTCAAAAACTCAGTCTACCTAGACTCTCTTTTGAGGTCTTCCCTTCTTTATCTGTTTGCCCTTGTGTAAGTTATTCAGCTCCTTTCCACCAGTTTCCTCATCTGTGAGATGATGAGCTTACATGACTTTCAAAGTTTGATTTGGCTCTAACACAGTAAAATTCTATGAAATGGAAAGTTAATGCATTTGGCTTTGGTAATTTTATTCAAAGCATAAGTAATATTAAAAAACAATACGTTTTCACCGTATTATGAGTTTCCATTTTCTCAGTGGAGCTAATCATGTGGAATAAATCATTTTGGGAGAGCTGTTTAATCCAGGTGTTCAGTAGAAATCACTAGCAAGCAAGCATTTTATTTTTGGACAAAACTCAGAATTCATTAAACTAGCAGGACTGCAGACTTAAATGAGATTCCCATTAAGTCTTAATGTAGATAGCACAGTTAATTACAACACCTAGGATTGTAATGTATCAATCTTACAAAGCCAAAACTAGGTTGAAATAATCTGTACAAACCCATGTTAACTTTAGTTAGAGAACTTGCTTTCAGAACGCCTAAAAGACGTATCCGTTCAGATTGAAACTCTGTGAACAAACGTGACTATCTCTGTTCTAGATCTGCGCATCAGAAGACAGCATTCCTCTGAAAGCGTTTCCAGTATCAACAGTGCCACAAGCCATTCCAGCATCGGCAGTGGTAATGATGCTGACTCCAAGAAAAAGAAAAAGAAGAACTGGGTAAGCCATCGTCATTCCTCTCATTCAGAAGCTTATTAACGCACCGTAGGTTAGATTATTTCCTTTGGAGGTTAGAGACCTAGAGCAGTTTACAAAGAGTCTCCTTCGAGTGCCTAGTGCCTAGAATACTGCACTCATTACCAAGATTGGCATAGCGTGGTGTGGAGAGAATACACTTGTGCATTTAGACGAGACTTGGGTTTCAGTCTGCACTGGATCTTGGGCAGATTACTTCACCTTACAGAAGAGTTTTCTCATCTGTAAGAACAGATAATACCAACTCCATAAAGACAAATAAGCTAATGTCTATTATGGAATGGCTAGACCAGGAGCTTATTGGGAGATAGAGAAAAGAAAAAAATATGATGATGATGATGATGTGGTGAAGGAGTGTTGGTGGTGATATTCCAAGAAAAGGAAAAGAAGGATTGGAGTTCAGAAAGGGAAAGAAGGGACTTGGAAATCTCCCCCCTCTGCAGTCTGTGGGGCCTTCTGTTTGACCAAAGTTTCACCCCGCGAGAAATCAGCCACATTAGTGCCTGCCTGATTTTTTTCCCAAGAGAATGCAGAAGAAATATACAAGCCTGTTGTAACAGGATTTTGCCACAATCACTACAGATATAATTTATGTTAATATAAAGCAGTTGCTTAAAAGCTAAGGGGAAAGTGCTATCACTGCAGCAAGTTTATCAACAACCATGTAAAGGATTTCTTTTAATATCGTGAAACAAAGGTAGATTTTGAATAAACACAACTCTTTATGAAACCCAGAATGTACTTAACAGAGGATTTTACTGGAGTACCTTCTATAAATAATGAAAGAAATATCTTTTTTGTTTTAAAAAAATGTTTATGCAGGTAATATTTTAAAATACTGATCAGCCTTCATTCCCTTGATTTGTAATTCCACACTCTTTCATGTTTCTGCAAGGTGAACTCTAGAGGAAGTGAGGTGAATATCAACATGGACAATTTGGCATGCATCTATAAAAACCCTACCTTGGCATGAATGCTATTCATTTTGGCAGTAGGCTTTTATACCTTTTAAAAACAGATTACCTTGTATGTCTTTTCTTTGTGTCTTTTCATTTTAGTCTCAAATTTTCAAAAGAAGTAAAACCATGTTCTGAATAGAGCTGTAGGGGATACCAATTCTGGTTGTGAATAGTCTGGGAATTGAAAATTTGAATAGAAAATCACAATTAATGAAGTGTTAGGTGAATTTGATTTCATTTTGCTTTTTAAGTTTGTACTGTCAGCAGGACATGACTTGATTGTAGCGCTAAAGTGGCCATTTAAAACAAATTGCCTTGAAGAGAGAAGCATTGGGAATGGAGATCCCTTCAAGGTACTTAGTTTTAAATGAGTGCTCTGACAGCCATGCCCTTGACCTTGCACTATTTAAAATCCTTCCATGTTTGCGCTGTGCTGGATTAATATAAGAATAAAATGGAAACCCAAACACAGTATCATTTTTTAAGATATACTGTGCTGCAACTGATAATACTCTGCTTATACATACTGACCTCAGGCAGTGGCTAGGATGGCATCTGCAAACTAACGCCCCAAAGCAAATGCTCTCCGAGTGCAAATAGACAAGAAGGGTAATCTCTGTCCTCCTTGCAGCTAAGAAGCTCTTTCAAACAAGCCTTTGGGAAGAAAAAGTCCACCAAGCCTCCTTCCTCACACTCTGACATTGAAGAGCTCACGGACTCATCCCTTCCGGCGTCCCCCAAGCTGCCGCACAGTGCTGGGGACTGTGGCTCGGCGTCCATGAAGCCCTCGCAGTCTGCCTCAGCGTGAGTTTCCCCCACCGCAGCTGCGGATCTGCACAGTTATTTTCAGAACATAGGATTCCTCTCTCATTTTTCAGAGATTCAAAACTCGCGTGTGCCTTGATCTCAGTCTCCATTTTTTAAAGTCATTCTTCTCACTTCTTTTCACTTGCATCTCTCCGTGTATCTGTCTAACTGTGCGTACGTGCAGGTCACCCCTTGTCTGGCCACCAAAGAAACGGCAAAATGGCCCTGTGATCTACAGGCACAGATCCCGGTAAAATGGAGTGTGGTGCATGCAGATTGCAAAGATTCGGGTTTTAACCGCAGGAATGTTTGCGTTAGCTTTCTCTAAAACCACTCACGTGAACTTCAGTCGTAAATACCTCCTCTTTCTTTCTGCTTTTCAACTAAATTTAGGTTTTCCCCAAGGCAGCCTGAAACCTATCTTTTAGTCTATTAACCTAACATAGCACTTTTGTAATAATCCACGTTTTGATAGTACAGTAGTCCCCCTTTATCCACGGGACGTATTGTCCAAGAACCCCAGTGGACGCCTGAAACTGCAGCTAATCCTGAGCCTTCGATATGTTATTTTTTCTATACATACCTATGATCAGGTTTAGTTTATAAATTAGGCAGAGGAGGCTAGTAACAACAGTAATAAGAAAACAGGACAATTATTTTAATATTCTGTGATAAAGTTACATGAAGGTGGTCCACAGTAATAATAAAATAGGACAATTATAACAATATTCTGTGATAAAGTAACGTGAAGGTGGCCTCCCTCAACATACTGTCCTATTTTCAGACCATGGTTTACTGCAGGGAACTGAAGCCCCAGAAACCAAAACTGTGGCTAAGAGAGGACTACTGTACAAAAAAGAACACATTGGGAATGTGGATGAGATGATGCTCTTTGTTTTATATCTATTTAAATCAGGTTTCCTGGAATGCCCATGATCATGAATGACATTTCTCATACAGAACAGAGCCACCAAGCTGTCACTACACAATCTCATCACTGTGTAGAAAGGAAGAACGTAACCACTGTCATTTTGTTCCCAGCAACCTGGTCCTCAAATTTTAAAAAGGAAATATATTAATTAATAACACACACATCCTTCTGATGGATTTCCTACAAAGTTGTCCAAAAAACAACAAGGGTATAATATAAGTAACCTTCCACCAGCCCCCACCTAGCCTGCTTGTATGGGCTAAACTTACAATTTAGCTTGATTAGCTGTGATCTGCTAAATCAGCTGAGCGGGCCAGGAAGATTCAACAGCACTCACCCAAGACTTAAACGTTCAAAACTAATCTCTCAAATTTATTTTCTACAATATTTATGTTGGATTTTCATGATAACTTGAAGACTGTGTTGTGGCAATAAGGTAATTTTTTTTTGCACAGTTTTCAAAAGAAAACAATTTAAGGATTAATAACTTTACTTTTTAAAAAAGAGAGTATTCACATATTGCAAATGGAGATTTAAATCCCTTGAAAAATGTTGGAATGAAATGTAGTCATACTAGAAATTTTCTGCCCTGCAAATATCAGTAACAAGGAAATTTTTAGGATTAGTTTATATTCAGAAATAGCAGATGGTAAACTTCAGAACATAGAAAAGATTAAAAGAAAAAGACAGCTATTTTCCATTTTGAACCTGTGAATGAATTACCGTTTGTAAAATTCTTTCTAACTTTTCTCTGGGTTTTGCTAGCCACAAATCTTTCTGTACTGGCTGGATAGTATTGCAGTTCAGCCTTTAAAAGAGGCAGTGCTTTCTCTAATCCCCTGCCTTCTCCAGACCACTGATTTCGTGTTGGTTTCCTTCTTCAGGATCTGCGAATGCACAGAGGCTGAGGCAGAGATAATTCTGCAGCTGAAGAGCGAGCTCAGAGAAAAAGAATTAAAATTAACGGATATTCGGCTGGAGGCCCTCAGCTCTGCTCACCATCTTGATCAGATCCGGGAAGCCATGAACCGGATGCAGGTCGGTACTGAAGCACTTTGAAGGAACAAAATGGAGACGCAGAAATGCTGTATAATCTCTTCTCTTGAGGTTCTAGAACAAATTCCACTTTTAAACTAAACACAACGTGCAGGTAGACTCTTTGTATTCAGTCTTTGCAGCTCATTTCTTAATGCTGAATGGAGAGTTTTTTCAAAACTAGATTTGGAAGTGGAGTGCCATCCAGCCAGGTGTACGCAGCAATCATTCAAGTCACCTGGCCTAGTGATTAGGTGCAGGTGGGGACGGTGTTTTTAGAAACTAGTACGATTCATTTTCACTTTTTCATGATTGACCTTTATGTTGGCTTTTTGCCCATTCTTTTGAACACTGCCTTTCAAATACCTTCACCTGTTTTCTATTGAAAAAAGTAATGAGGAAATTGTAGAAATTCAACACAAGCTTTCTGAATAGGGAAATAAAAGTGCTTTAGAATGCCATCTGGAAAAGTAAAGCTTTTGTAATTTTTGGAAATATACGGGCTAAATTCAGAACCAGACTGTACCCAGACTAAGTTTTCATTTCATTATTGCAAACCAACAATCACTTGGTACCACAGATGCCTGAAATAAGAAAAGCTTATTGCTGAGCAGATTCTTCTGCTACTGTATATTTCCATCAAATTACTTCTGTTTTTTATGAGCTTAGTGCCCCATTTTGAAGGAACAAAAACTTTGCAGATATCAGCCAGAATTCAAGTATTTTTAAATCACCTTATTTATATTATTTTTGTTATGCTCTGTTTTCAACTCTCGGTGAATTCGCAATAGCATTACAAATGTTATTTGCCTGCGAAATGTTAACATCCCTTTTAAAATGAGAAGTATCATGAAACAATTAATTATATTACTCTTAATTCAAATGAGATGAAATATTGGAAAACTTCTCAAAAATATAATATCTTCAAAAAGTAATTATAAAATTGTTATCGGTTAGTGTGCCTATATTTGTGAATCTCGGCATGTGTGTGTGGGAGATGGAAAAAAGGGTAATTTTGCTTTTTTGGAAGGAGATCCAGTTTCATAATTTACTTGTTTAACATATCAGCATATGTTTTATTTAACAAATAAATAATTAACTCTGATGAAAAGACGTGGTGCCATTTTCTCAGTGAAACTAGCTCATTTTATTTTCATGTTTTATGTCTTCATAACAGAATGAAATTGAAATACTGAAAGCTGAAAATGACCGGTTGAAGGCAGAAACTGGGAACACGGCTAAACCGGCTCGGCCCCCTTCTGAATCCTCCAGCACCGCCTCCTCCTCATCTTCACGGCAGTCATTAGGACTTTCCCTAAACAACCTGAACATCACAGAGGCTGTCACCTCAGGTAATGGATGGCACATGCCCGCCTAAATCACAGCATGGCTGGGCCCTAACAGGGCAGAGAGAAGCTTGGAATTTGGGGAAACTTGCACCATCTTAAAAATGTTAACTTCTCATTCTCAGAAATAGTCCTATTTTTATCCTATGAATTAATTCTACTTAGTTATAGTTTTCAAAGCACATTCTCTGTGAAAAGGCAAATCTTAGATTATTTTCCTAATATTTAAAAAAAAATTACTTATGCTTGGGAAGTACTTTCCATGAAGTCCTACTATGAAGATGAAGAATTAATATTCTCCGTGATAATTAATACTTGTGGATGTAAAATAACCCCATGCAATTTTAAGTGCAGAAACCACTTCTGAGTTTATTGGGACCTATGTGTAAATAGGACTCCATGAGCCTACGTGATGTTGCCTGGACAGAGCATAATGCTTCTTACCCCCCAGTCTCCAGCTCTATTACATTTTCAACAAACAAAAAAAAAACATGCTGGCTCAGTGCCTGTAGCACAGTGGTTATGGTGCCAGCCACATACACTGAGGCCGGTGGGTTTCAACTCAGCCCCCCCCCCAAAAAAAAGAACATGCCGAATTCTGTTAATGTGTTCGACAGCACTAATAATGGAACAAGGGTACAGCTTTGACTAGACCTGTGTGATATTGTATCATCTTAATATCTGATGAAACATTCAATTACAGAGTATAAGTGCTCCTGTGGCATTGAATTATTTTAAGGGTACAGAATTAGGTTAGGGAACATTTGCGTGAGAATCTGTGGTAATTGCAAAATAGAGCCACCAGATGACGCTTGGAAACCAATAATGTTTTCCTGGGTACCATTAGATTCCATTGTAGAACTGAGACACCTCACTGCTTTCCTTAAATTACATTAAAATATAGGGGATAAAGCATGGCGATATTGATTATATTTCCAATGAATCACATCTCTTATTTCTGAAAAGTCAAAATTTTAAAAAAGCTACTATAGCTGCCCTTCCTAAATGGCCCCAACATATACTAGCCTTCATCTTATAACAAACATGGCCATACAGTACGTGTGCAGTCTTACATTGCACACCATTTAAAATTGCACACAAAACTTATGGCCACCCTGTATATCTAAAAGACAAGTGGGAACTCTCTGTAATTCAAAAAAACAACATTTGTAAACATTTGGCGAGGTACAGAGGTAGGAAATAAATTTAAGTATTGAGTAAAACTCATATTTATAGTCCAGAAAAAACAGATTTCAGAATGGATAGATTCAATGAACCAATAGATCATTGGATAAAATAAGAATGTGAAAATAAATAGTAACTTGAATGTGTGAATTGTACATAAACTACTATTATCCATACTCTTCGAAGGATTCTTAAAAAAGAAAAAAATTAAATGTATAGAATCTGAGAGCTTATGTCTTGAGCAATATCTTTTTCTTGGCTTGTTGGTGACCCTGCCAGACCAGTGAACTGGGGTCACATCTATCTGAAGGTTTCCTGTGTCCCCAGGCTCACCTCCTAGGGAAATACAAGGGCTGGTCCCTTACAGGACAAATAAACGTCAGGATTTTCATTTTGTTGTACTTTATGGAAATAAGATAAGGTTTAAAAGAGGCCAAGTTAGCACTGTAGGAAGCTTAGAGAGGTCAAACATATAAAAATAAAACTAAAATTAATGTCTGGGTTAGAACTCATAAAAAATAAAAATGAAAGAAATCAAATTTACATTTTCTGTGTTTATCGGATTTAACACACTGATGACCGTGATTGAAAATGTGGGACAAGATCTTTGGTAGGAGGCCAATTTTAGAGATTTTTTTTAAATACCCTTTTTAATTACCTATTTCATAATTATTTTTACTTGCAATTTATTTTCTTATTTTTCAATAGTGGTACTTATGAAATCATGAGACTAGACTATTGTTTTCACTACCTTCACTTTTCTTAGTGGGTTCAAAAGTTAGAAATCAAAAGTGCTTTCATGCAGGGGATTTTTAACAGTTTTAATTAAAAAGAAAAAAGGGATCAGGAGAAAGAACAGTTGACAAATGTTCAGTTTCTAAAATATTAACTACATGGTTCCATGAACACAGTAAACATAGTTTGAGAAACCTTGGTTTCTTTCCAAAATTTCACTTGATTGCAACAGAGGGGCAGATCTTTTTATTCTCCCTTGCACGTGTGGTCAGAGGCCATAACAGACCCACGGAGGATGCTCACCTCAGACTTGTTGCTTGTCCCTGAAGTTGTTTCTTCTGGTGATTATCCTGCCAACACACTGTGAGCAGGAGGGACCTAGAATTAGTCATGATCTGATCCTCCCACTATCAACAGAAATAATCCCAGTAAACATACAGGAAAAAGCTAGTGGTTAGAACAGCAGAACTGACTAAACACAGAGGATGCTGTGCTTTAAAAGCATTATCTCTTAGGTTCTCAACAATCCTATAAAGTTGGAGCTGTTTAAACCCAATTTTAGAGATAAGGAAACCAAGGCTTAAGTGACTATAATCATTTGCTCAAGATCATGCAACCAGTAAGTAGCAGAACTAATACTTGAACCTAGGTCTGCATGAATCCAGTGCCTTTCTATTTTTAATTATTACAGGTACATCACAGTTGTATATATTTATAGAGTGCATGTGATGTTTTCATTATTATATAATTTTGCTTTAATTAGCAACAAAAGTCAAGAGTGACAGTTACTCATTGTTCATATTTATACTAATATCATCAGGAGAAATTTCATATTTTAAACATAGATCTTAAGAGTACAACATGGAATGAACAGCGTGTTCCTAGGAAAACTTGAGCAGATATGTGGGTCGGCAGTCAGAATAAACCCCATGCCGTCCACTACGAG